TTTTACTACATTTGTGATTTTGAGAGCAGTTGCAAAATTACCTTCCGCAGGGCTGTACCATAAAAAAATTTTATGCATGCCGATTCCCTGTTAGTATCCAACTGTTTTAGTTATTCATTTATTTATTTACTTAGACAGAGTCTCAAGCTGTGCCCTAGGTAGCCATGATGTCATAGCTCACAGCAACCTCCAACTCCAGCTCAAGTGATCCTCTTGCCTCAGTCAACTGTTTTATTTTTGCCCATCTAACAGTGAAAAGGCATGTGGTAGAATTGCAAATGGCCATGAATTCTGTTCAGCGCCTTCCATCAACAGGCAGAGTCTATCCTCCTTCCCTCAAATTTGAGCTGATCTTCGAACTTGCTCTGGCCAATAGCAAGGGGCACGAGCTGTGTTGCATGAGGTCTGGACCTAGGTCTCAGGAACTTGCATCTTCTGGCCAGCTGTAGTGGCTCACACCTGTAATCCTAGCACTCTGGGAGGCTGAGGCAGGTGGATTGCTTAAGCTCAGGAATTAAGACCAGCCTAAGCAAGAGTGAGACCTGTCTTTACTAAACATAGAAAAAAATAGCTGGACATTGTGGTGGGCACCTGTAGTCCCAGCTACCCAGAAGGCTGAGGCAGGAGGATCTCTTGAGCCCAGGAGTTTAAGGTTGCTGGGAGCTAGGCTGAAACTATTGCACTCTGTCTCAAAAATTAATAAAAAAAATTAAATTTTCCTCTTGGGCCTCAGTTTCTCTGCCTAGGAAGTGGGGAGGGAGGTATTAGATAAAAGGAGTTTCCCAGTTCTTCTACTCCCTAGGGATCCCTGAATGATAAGGTCCCCCACATCAGGGAGGTGGCCAGACGAGGATGTGCCCAGGTACTTCCCCTGCCATCAGCTCTCCCCCCACCTTCCCACTTTCTTTCTTCTTTTTTCTTTTTATATTTATTTTATTTATTGATTGATTGCAGTTTGGGCCGGGGCTGGGCTTGAACCTACCATCGCCTTACTCCTTGAGCCACAGGCGCCGTTCCCTACCTTCCCACTCTCCAGCCCAGAAAAGAGCCCTCCCAGTGGCCAAGCTAGAGGGTGGGCACTTCCCCAGGGCAGGTGGCAAGAGGCTGAGGGAATCTCAAACAGATGTGCCTGTGTGCACACGCATGTGTACACACACAAACTCATAAACACACGCAGTGCCCCTGTATCTCTGCCTCTCCTTTTCTGTGTATTGTTCTCTCTGAGCCCTCAGTCAGTCTCAGTTTCTCCCTATCCCTGTCTTCTTCTCTGACTACCCCTGAGTCAGTCTCTCTGTGATCTCTTCTTCCTTTTCCCTCTCCTTCCCTCTCCTCTCCCACCTCCCTGACTATCCCCAGCTCTACTCCGGGTTTCTGTCTCTCCCTCTCTTAGCCTCTGTCTCTCTTGCTGTCTCTCCCTCTACGTCTTTGCACAAAATTCTCCTCTCCTCAGGCTGGGAAGCCCCCGAAACCCGTGAGCCTCACCCACGACCCTGCAGGCAAGAGCTAGGTGAGGCCCAGGTGAGTCACAAGGAAGGAGTGGACATTCCTGCCACTTTTCTGGATTGTGCCCAGGCCCAGCCCCCTGCCTGCCCCAGTGCTTAACACATCACCGGAAGCTTACAGGTGTGTGTCACTTGAGGGAAAGAGAGAGGCAGAGATAGAAACAGAAAGACAGAAAGACTCACAGGCATGGAGAGAGAAAAGGGAGAAACAGAGATAGAAAGGTAGAAAAACAGAGAGAGAGAAAGAAACAGTGATTGGGGATCAAGAAAAATAAACAGGGACACAGACAAAGAAAAAGAAGAAAATGGTGAGATAGAAAAAGACAAAGACAAGGGTCGGCACGGTGGCTCATGCCTGTAATCCCAGCACTCTGGGAGGCTGAGGTGGATGAACTGCTTGAGCTCAGAAGTTTGAGACCATCCTGAGCAAGAGCCAGACCTCATCTCTAAAAATAGCTGGGCGTTGGGGCAGGCGCCTGTAGTCCCAGCTACTTGGGAGGCTGAAGCAAGAGGATCACATGAGCCCAACAGTTTGAGGTTGCTGTGAGCTATGACACCATGGCACGCTACCTAGGGTGACAAAGTGAGACCCTGTGTCAAAAAAAAAAAAAGACACACATAGATAAGGGAGAGAGAGACAGGGATTTCAGAAGACCAGAGAAGTCTGGGGTGGAGTTGAGTGGGCTCTGAGATATCTCCCTCATTTAAATGAAAGAGGAAATTATGACCCAGAGCAGTGAGGTCATCCGACCAGGAAGTGGTAGCATCACAGTATACAACTCCATGTGACCCTCAAACCTGACTTTTCTCTTCACTAGAGATGCCTCCCATCCACCCAAATCCATTTCATAACAGGTGGGAAAATCAAGGATCAGTGGGGTGAAGCCCCGGGTCATTCAAAAGCAAGTGGCTGAGCTGGGTCTCAACCCTACTTGAACCAACACCTCATCTCATGCACGTTAATATTTAGTCATTTAGTCTTTTTTTTTTTTTTTT